TTTCTCCTTATCCCTTACTCTTCACATCCTCCCTACCACTTACACTTAACATCTAATACTAACTACTATCCTTACTTATTCTTCTTACTATTACTTCCTTACCTTCTTATTACTTTCTTACCCTATTATCATTCATATCACTCTTATTACCTACATTACCTTATCATCTCTCATATCACTCTTATTACCTACATTACCTTATTATTATTCATATTACCTACATTACTTTATTATCACTCTTATTACTTCCTTACCTTATATTACCCTATTATTCCTCTTATTACCTTACTATTATTCATATCACTCTTATTACCTTACTATCACTCTTATTATCTATATTACCTTATTATCTCTCTTATTACTTTCTTACCTATCTTACTACTCATATCTCTCTCCTTATTATTACTTCCTTACCTTCTTATTCCCTTGTTATCTCTCATATCGCCTCTTATTATCTTACTATCATTTCCCTTCCATTTCTTACCTTCCTTATTAGCCTTATTTATACTCCCCTCCTCATTTAGTCAATTAATTCTTTTACCTTATTTTATTATTATTTACTTATCCTACCCACTTACTCAATTAATTTACTTATCTTATTTTATTATTACCTACCTTACTATTTCTTATTCCATTCACTATACTTACGTATTATCCTACCCTATCTTTACTTACCTTATGTCTGTCTTTCTATATTACTCTCTTACCTTCCTATTACTTCCTTACCTTATACTATTCATATCACCTACATCACCCTCTTATCACTTCCTTAATTACCCACTTATTATTAGTTACTTACCCTATCACTCCTCATATTCCCTTCTTGCCCTATTCCTTATTACCCACTCTCTTTACTCTCTTCCCTTACTTATCTTTCTATTTATTTCTACTTAATTCATTACATTATTGTTCCTTACTATTTCTTCCTTCACTATTATCACTTACCTATTTCACTTCCCTTATTATTACTTACTTATTACCTACCCTATCTTTACCTTATCATCTCTTACCTATTAGTTACCATTCCCTACATCACCCTATTCTTACTTTCTTACCCTCTTACTGATTATTTACTTATATTACCCTCTTACTACTTACTAGTTATCTCTTACCTTATTTCTCTTACTTATCATTATATTTATTATCACTTCTCTTACTACTTTTATTACTTACCTTCACTTCTATTCCTTTCTTATCTCACTTACATCTCTTACCCAATATTCCTTATTAGTCTGCTCACTACTTAGCTATCCTTACTTATCACTTACTTTTTTCTATTTATTCCTTATTTTACTTAGTCTTTT